CCGTGGAGGGTAGTTGAAGCAGTTGTGAAAACCATTTTACACTAGGATGGTTAGTGATGATATGGAAGTGACTGTGAATCTCATTCACATATCCTTCTAAACTCAAACTAAATGTAGCCCAAATTCAACTTCCTATTAGCCAGATCCCAAAAATGCCTTCAGCAACTCCAAAATCACCCCTATACAAGGCAAAATGAAATAGAGGAACTTTCCAATGGAACAAGACAGCAATCTTAGTTAACTTTAGCCAACTCTGTTTAAAATACCTTGCTTTTAATATTTTACAAAAACATAGAACCATGTGGGCATATTGCTAGGGCTCCTTCCAGGAACTTGGAGATGAAGGACTTGAGTCCTTCATCTCCAAGTTCCTGGAAGGAGCCCTAGCCTTAAAACTAATGAAGAACATTAGTTTTAAGGTTAATTTGCCTCTAATAATAGCAATACAATTTTAGAAAACAAATTAATGTGTATAACAGGCTTGACAAACCACAGAAAGTTGAGACTTGAGCCAGTAGCAGGAGGATCCTAGAAGGAAACTAAATTCCCGCTGCAGATCCTCAAGGAAGATCAGAAATCAGAAGCTCCGCGTATTTAGGAGAGTGGCAGTAAATACTGATCTGAAAATAAGAAGACTGATTGTGAAGCATCCACTGTAATAGTGAGAAAATATTCCACACACACTGCACCACTATTCTCTCACTCTACTATGCTCATGGCTTTCAATATCTCACTTTCCATTTATTTTCTTTTTTTAATTTTAAAATACAATTATTTTAATTAGCATAAGTAGTCAAATCTCCAGCCTCCATCTCCAACCTGTATAATAGGATAAATGTCAATAACCCCATTCCAGCAGAAGACTGGAGGTTTATTTTCTGAATGGGTTAAATCAGAGAGTCTCTGGACTCAGGGACTCTTGGTAGAGCTGAGCGTGTGTAGAGGGGTCCCTGTCACGGTGATTGGGTTCAAATCTAAATATTGAATGGTGAGGTTCCCCCTCCCATTCTCCCCCACTCTTCTTCTTTGGTTCACTTAGGAAAATGTGAGAGGGCACACAAGAGATTTTAGAAGTCCTGTCTGGTGAAAATAATCTGCCCCGAAGGAAAGATCTCCAGATATTGAAATTTAGGGTCCTCCAACAAAAGTGTGCAGTGTGATCACCCTCCACCCCTCCGTTGACAAGCCCCTGCACAAAATTTTTAATTAGCTTTCAGCGCCTCTCTCTTACTTGTGAACAGACAGCCAGAGATCACCTGACAATTGGGAAAGCCTTTGACACAAAGGACTGAGAGCAGAACAATAGGAAAATAAGACCATAAAGAAGATGGAAGAAAACATCATCATCAACATCAACATTCTAACAACATTCTAATATCCTCAAAGGTAAACATGTGGCATCCTTAAAATAAAACCAAGTGTCTGTAGAAATGTAACATTCAGAAAAGAAAAAGAGAGCACTTGGAAATGAAAAGTATGATAATGAAAAGGGAAATAGAAACTGAAGTGTTGAAAGAACAACAACAACAAAGAAGTGAAAATAAAATATTAGGAAATTAAAAACCAACCCAGATGGTCTACAATCTGAATAGTGGGAGCTCCAGAAAGAGAAACTAGAGAAAACAGAGAAGATGAAGTTATCAAAGAAATTATTTCAGATAATTCCAGAACTACAAAAGGCTTGAAAAATCAAGGCATATCATTGTGTCATTCTGGAACACTGAAGAGAAAGAGAAGTTTCCAAAAACATTCAGAAATGAAAAATAGTCACATGCGAAGTTTTGGAGTCAGAATAGCTTTAGACTTTTTATCAGTAGCCCTAGAAATTAAAAGCCAAGAGGGTGATGCTTGCAAAATTCTCAGTGAAAATTACTTATAATCTTTAACTTGATACTCAGCCGAAATGTTAGTCAAGTGTAAAATAGAATTTTAAAAATATCAGACATGCAAGAATTTAGAAAGCTTATAACATATATATGCCTCAAAGTTGAGTAACTTAATATGCCTTCAACATGGCAGAAAATCTATAAATGTCATCTAAGACTGATAATGAAGACATAAAAATATGAGACATGGAATTTAGAGATTTGCAAGTAGCCACCAGAAGAAACATCAACAAGACTTAGTGATTGGGAGAACTGAGGTACCAGGGAGCCTGTGAAGACTGGTGCTCTTCCTTGCAAGTTTTGTACTATTTGATTTTTTTTAAATGATGTGCACATATTAATTTGTCTTAAAAATAATTTTATTTGAAAATCCAAAAGGAAAGTGAGAGAAAAGATAGACATTGAGATGATGAAAGCAATGACTATAACAAAGTGAGAGATAGAGGTGGTGGGAGAATGAAGCATTTTCTGCATAGAGAACTCTTATACATATGAAGTTCTTTAATCCTCACAATGACTGAGAGAGACAAATATCATTTTCCCATTTTAGAGATGAGGAAGCTGAGGCTCATGTAAGTTAAGGGAATTTGTCCAGAGTCACAACAGCTTGGAACTGGCAGTATTAAGGCTGAACCCAAGTCTGGTTCTCAATCACTTTCCACTACATAGTTTTGAATGTTGGCAAACAAGAGAAGAGAGAGAGATTGGGACCTAGAATGAGGGGAAGACAGTAAGTTTTTGGTAGAGGAAACACAAAAACATTCAGGTAAGTTAAAGGCAAAGAGTCATCAAAAGCCAATAATTGAAAGTACAATACAAGAGAGAGAAGGAATAATTGACCCGCATCTTAGAAAGTTTGGAAGACACAGAATGATGACATGGGCAAGAGTTTGCCTTGAGAAGGAGTAAGATTGCTTTGACTTCTGAAACAGGTGGGAAGGAGGTAAGGGTGGGTGAAGTGGCTATTAGGCTGGAACTTGGAGAGAAGGGAAATTGAGGTGGTCATACTGTTTTCTCCATGAAGAGGCTAGTTATTCTCTTGCAAATAAATGAGGGATAAGCGGAATCTTTACCAGCGATTAATGGGGAGAAAAGGGAGCTATAAAGTGACTGGAACAATTAGGAAAGAGAGTAGAGTTGCCAGATTCAGCAAATAAAAGCCAGCTTGCACAGTTACATTTGAAGGGCAGATTGACAATATGTATTTTATTAGTGTATACCCCAAAGATTGCATGATATTTTATCTGGCAACCCTGAAAGAGAGACACTAAAGCATGCATAAAGAATAGCAAAGCTACTTTGAAATCAGAAATTGGGAATGAAGCGACCTTAACATGTATTAGGCATCAGAAGGTAAACTCCGTGTGATGAGAAATAAGGTAAGAACACTGAGCTTGGCTTCCAGGCAACAGCGGAAAGGGAGTTGGGCTAGCAGCCAGGAGATAGCTTGAGGATGCAATTCTTAGGGCCTCTCTTGAGAGCATTGGGAAGAGATGTGTGTGGGAACTGGAGATGTGGAATTGGCAGGGAAGTCATTGCTGTAAACAGCTTTGCCTACTTTCTAATTTTGCCTTAGTGGGTCTTCTACATTTTATAGCCCCTAGATGTGTACTAAAAATGAATACTACTAAATAATTATCTGCAAAGTATTTGGACTCTTAAAAACATTGGATCAATATTGAACGTTGTCCTCACCAATAGTATTCACAAGAAAAGTACTGATTTCCCCAATGAAATTCTTTAACCTGTTTGAGGTTTATCATCGTGGTTTGGAGTAGTGGTTAAGAGTCTGAAGCCTATCTATAGGCATATTCCACATTAACCAAGTTGCTTAATATGTTTGCAACTCAGTGTTCTTATTTAGTATTACCTAATTTGTAGGGCCATTGTCAGGACTAATTGAGTTAATATGTGTAACACTTACAATCTGGTACACAAATACTGAGAGTACAACCTTACTTAGATATCCTAGGCAGACAATGAGAGGTTTTAGAAAACATTCATTAAAAGTCAAGTGTGGTGGTTCATGCCTATAACCCCAGTGACTTGGGAGGCTGAGGTGGGAGAATCCCTTGAGCCCAGAGGTTCGAGACCAGCCTGAGCAACATATGGAGACTGTCTCTAAAAAAATGAGAAAATTAGCCAGATGGGGTGGCACACTGTGCCTGTAGTCCCAGTTACTGGGGAGGCTGAAGTAGGAGGATTACTTGAGCCCAGGGGTTTGAGGCTGCAGTGATCTGGCCACAGCACTCTAGCCGGGGTAACAGAGCTAGACCCCATCTCTTTTAAAAAAAAAAACAAACCAAAAACATTCATTAATATACACATGTATACACTTTTTATACATATACAGAAAATGAATATAAAAGGACATTCATTACGATACTTTTATGTACTTGTCGACATGTACTAATTTAACACTTTAAATCTGGAGGTCTGCTTCCCTTCAGGAACATACGTTTCAATCCCTTAACTGTTCGTTGACTGATGGCGTATGAGCTAGGAGACAAGGCATTTGCAGTATTTAAGTTTTAGAACACAACCCTGGCACTCACTAGTTGAGAAATCGACAAGTTATTTAAGCTGTCTGAGTGACATTTCCTTCAACAATAAAATGAGCAACAATGCTTGCTTGCCTCACAGAGCAGTAGTGTTAAATGAATCTATCACATGCTTGACACAGACCAGGTGTGAAATTCTTATTAATTTATTTCCCTTTAAAAAACTCATAAATTAGTGTGTGTGTGTGTGTGGGTGGGTGGGTGGATGGTTTGCGGGGTGGATGGAGAGGTTGCCAAGTCCACACTTTTGTTATACTGGGTAGACACAATATATCCTCCCTTTTAAGTGAAATAAGTCCTCAAACACAGTCAGGGTCTATTGTGAAGTCTAGAGGACTGTTATCTTACTTTCCACATTGTACGAACTTAGTGTTGTTGAACATGTGGGTATGTGTGAATTAACTGTCACTTCATTTTTTTTTTTTTTTGCAAACTCATAAAATCCCAGAAGCCAGGGGTCTGTTGTTTATTCATTCAGCCTCCTTCTGAGTCATTCAGGTACAGGGTGTGTCTATCAATTGAAACTGCACAGCGGAGGAAGTTTTGAGTTCACATCTGCCGGGATGGTGAGGCAGTGCGATCCGGACTGGGTGGAAGCCTTCTTTGTAACAAACAGTAGGGCAGGGGCAGAAGAACCCTGAACTCGCCTCTCAGGCGGATCTGACCAAGGCCAGCTCTCACCCTCACGTTCCTAAGTAGCATCAAGGCAAAAGGTAAAGATGGGCGAGGTGCGAGCATTGAGATTTGGGGACCTCTGAGTTGCCTCCCAAGTAGAATGTGAGAGCGGGGCGCGCACCACGGCTGGCCAGGGCGGCTCTTCCCCTTTGGAAATTCCTGAGCTGCCCAAGCTTTAAAAATCTCTCAGGCCCCGTCAGCAGCCCACCTCCTCAAAGGCCTCACCATTGGCCAGAATCTGGGACAAACGGCCTGACTTAGTGCCCAGATGAGCGAAGGAAACCCCCGCCCAACACCAAGGCCGGCGCTGGCCCATTTCGCTGTGCGCGCCGGGGAGGCCGCTTTCTGCCCCTCGGACCGCAAGTTTCGAGGCAGCCCCGGGATCAGAGGTGGAGGGATGGGAGAGTACAGGAAACTTCCAGTCCATTCTTCGTCCCGGGCAGATCGCCGGCTCCATACCTCTTGCAGCCCCTTCCCAGCCTCTCCTTCCCAGAGCGCAGCCGAGACTCGCTGAGCCGCGGCTCCCCCCGTTTGCCCTGCCCGCTCGGAAGTGGTCCCGGGGGCGCCTGGCCACAGTCTTGGGACTCGGATCCTCCCAGGGCTGCGGGGACGGGGGACAAGGGCGGTGCGCTACGGGACGCCGGGTCGTCCTCTGCCCCCTAAGACTTTTCGGGAGAAAAGTTTCCAAAGGGTCTCCACCGCCTCTCTTTTGCAGGGCTCCGGAGTAGCCTCTTCCACCGCCCAGGCGCGCTGGCTATCGGGGCGAGGGCAGTGATTTATACATTAGAATCCAGGGTTACCAGGCTCCGCCCCTTCTGTTTTTTTCTGCCCCAGATCTTTTCTGGACCGCGTTTCTCAGCAGCTCAGATCCGGGAGCCCCCAGCCGCAGGCGGAGGGCGTCGGGGGTTAAAGCATTAACCCCTCCCAGTCTCTCCCTAAAGAAGCCGCCCTGCCTTAGCGCGGCGGCGCTAGGCGACTTCGCTTCGCGGGCAGGAGCGGGCCGCGGAGGACGGGACAGGCCATTGGAGTGCACTGCTGCGGAGGGAGGGGACCCCGACTCCAGTAAGTTTGCAAGAGCACGACGCAGTCAGTCGGGGGCAGCAGCAAGATGCGGAGCGCGCGGTGCAGACCCGGAGCTCTCCGAACGCAACTTCGCCCCGCCTGAGCGAGGTAGGGGCTGCGAGCCGCGCGGGCCGGGGGTGCCGGGGAGGCGCGGGGAGCCCCGCTGCGGGAGGGCTTTGGGGTCAGAAACGAATTTTTAAATTGAACGAAGCACACAAAAACTTTGAAAGCACCCGTCTCTGGGCTCTGCAAACTTGCATCTCTGGGCTGGTAAGGAACAAACCCCACTCGATGGGATTGTTCCTGGGCGCTGGCGATTTATGGAGTTTGGAAAAGGGTTAATTCCCAATTGTAGAACTGACTGGGGCAGGGGGAGCGGGAGCTGCAGTAGGTCTGAGGAGGAGAAGGGAAGTAGCTTATTTTTGAGAACCCTATAGACAAAGAATATAGGAGTAGGGGCAATGGCTTAAACTTGCACTGCCGGCGAGCGGAGTGTAGAATTAGTGGGGCGGAGGGGTGGGGTGGGGGTGGGGTGGGGGAAATGCGGAGCTTCTTGGCTCGAGCAGCCCCTGCTGTTCGGGGAATTGCTGGAATTTTTCCTGCCTCTATTACTTCATTTTTCTCACATTGCTGCATTACCTGGAAATATTTAAACAACTTAAAAGTACACTCCTGCTGACAGTGCCGCGTGTCGTTCCTTTCGAACTTTATAGTTCTATGAGAAGAGGCACCATATTGGGGAAGGGCAGTAAATAAAACTGCCCACGCAAGTTTAGCAATGCACCAAAGGTCCGTAATGTGAGTTTCTGGAGAGTGGTTTTGCACTCGAAATTAGAAACGTGGTGGCATGTGTTGTTACCATTAGTAGTTCGACTTCTCTCTTTTACGTGTGTGCTCTGGCTAAACTAAACTAAAAATATTTATGCAATCCATTAATGTTCGAGACTTCTGGGATTTGCTGCAATCTCGTGTGAATGGTTTTCACTGAATACCTTTAAGTTTACTTGCACTGGCTTTCGAAAAAAAAAAAAAAGAAGAAGAAGAAGAAAAAAAAAAAGGCAGTTGCTTCACTGAGGCGCTAAGCTTTCCTGTTTACCGCAAGGCGGGGCGGGCTGCCCACACCTCACTGCGCCCTCCGACCCTCAGCACATCTGCTCCTGGAGAGTTATTAATAGAACCCAAAAAGTGACTTACGCTGTCAAATAATTTTCGTGCAAATATGATTTCTTGCATGGCAATCAGGAGGAGGTGCTCACCTCTTTGAGCTGGGGGGTGTGGAGGTGGGAGACAGAGATGTGTGCGTCCCGCCCTCAGATTGGCAGTTGTGGTCTTTTCGGAAGAGAGCCCGTGGGCTGGTGGTGAGAACGCAGCTGAGCTGGTGACTGCTTCAGAGAATCTCCGCGCTAGGAATCGGAGTGGGGGGATGGTGGGTCAGTGGGGGGATGGGGGTGGGTGAGGGTGGGGTGAGAGGGCCAGAGTGAAGTTAAAGTGGGGCGCTCATTTCCAGGATTCTCATTTCCCTTGGAGTGAATATGACTCTAGAGAAGAGTTTTCCTCTTGTCCAGTCGGAGTTTTGCGTTTAGGGAGATTTTGGGGTTTTCTTCCTCTCTTTCTTCCTCCTCTTCCTTTTCTGCAAGAAATAATAATTAGATTTTTTTTTTTAAAAAATTCCCTCTCCCTGAGCTTTCCGCAAGTTTCCTTAAGACAAATCAACAACAACAAAATTGGAGCAATGCCTTAGCTAGAATGAATTATGCCAGTGTACTGTGGCTTTTTTCCCTGACTTTCTGTTCTGTGACTTATTTAAGGCTGCGGTTTCCGAGGCCCTCTCCAGCCAAGGAAAAGCTACACAAAAAGCCTGGATCTCCCACTGAACCACCCCTGCGGCGGCGACTGAAGTCTCTCTCGGCCTCGCCCTCTAGCGTTCGTCTGGAGAAGCGCCACCCCCGGGTTCCTGGGGACACAGTGTGCCACCATGGGGTCCACCAGCAGCCCGCTGCTCAAGGCCCTCCGCAGCGTCTCTGATTATGGCAACTATGACATCATCGTCCGGCATTACAACTACACGGGGAAGCTGAATATCAGCGCGGACAAGGAGAACGCCATTAAACCCACCTCGGTGGTGTTCATTCTCATCTGCTGCTTTATCATCCTGGAGAACATCTTTGTCTTGCTGACCATTTGGAAAACCAAGAAGTTCCACCGCCCCATGTACTACTTTATTGGCAACCTGGCCCTCTCAGACCTGTTGGCAGGAGTGGCCTACATAGCCAACCTGCTCTTGTCTGGGGCCACCACCTACAAGCTCACCCCCGCGCAGTGGTTCCTGCGGGAAGGGAGTATGTTCGTGGCTCTGTCTGCCTCGGTGTTCAGCCTCCTGGCCATCGCCATTGAGCGCTACATCACCATGCTGAAGATGAAACTGCACAACGGGAGCAACAGCTTCCGCTCCTTCCTGCTGATCAGCGCCTGCTGGGTCATCTCCCTCATCCTGGGCGGCCTGCCCATCATGGGCTGGAACTGCATCGGCGCGCTGCCCAGCTGCTCCACCGTGCTGCCGCTCTACCACAAGCACTATATCCTCTTCTGCACCACGGTCTTCACGCTGCTCCTGCTCTCCATCGTCATCCTGTACTGCAGGATCTACTCCTTGGTCAGGACTCGGAGCCGCAGGCTCACCTTCCGCAAGAACATTTCCAAGGCCAGCCGCAGCTCCGAGAAGTCGCTGGCGCTGCTCAAGACGGTGATTATCGTCCTGAGCGTGTTCATCGCCTGCTGGGCCCCACTCTTCATCCTGCTCCTGCTGGACGTCGGCTGCAAGGTGAAGACCTGCGACATCCTCTTCAGAACGGAGTACTTCCTGGTGTTGGCGGTGCTCAACTCCGGCACCAACCCCATCATCTACACCCTGACCAACAAGGAGATGCGCAGGGCCTTCATCCGCATCATGTCCTGCTGCAAGTGCCCCAGCGGAGACTCCGCGGGCAAATTCAAGCGGCCCATCATCGCGGGCGTGGAGTTCAGCCGCAGCAAATCGGACAACTCGTCCCACCCCCAGAAGGACGACGGGGACAACCCAGAGACCATCATGTCTTCTGGAAACGTCAACTCTTCTTCTTAAAAAACTGGAAGCTGCCGACCCACCGGAAGCTCTTGCAAGGTCACCCACCACCCCAGCGTTTGGGGAAAAAAAAAAAATCTCTGGGCTTCCACCGCTGCCAGGGAGGAGCTGCTGCGAGCCAGAGGGAGGAGGAGGGAGAACGCGGACGGCCTGGTGGTGCCGGGTGTCGGTGGGTAGCGTTAGTTCCTGTGAACAATGCACTGGGAAGGGTGGAGATCAGGTCCCGGCCTGGAATATATTTCCTCCCGCCCCCACCCACCCCTTGGAGCTTTGATTTTGCACTGAGCCAAAGGTCTAGCATTGTCAAGCTCCTGAAGGGTTCTTTTGGCCCCTCCTCAAAGACTGGTATCCCCATGTGAAAGCGTCTCTTTGTCTGGAGCTTGGAGAAGATGCTTTCTTTCACTTTAGTTCCAAACCCAAGTGAGTGTGTGCACTTCTGCTTCTCTAGAGATGCTTTGCGTGCCCCGCCCTCCCTCCTCAAAACTCTTTGACTTTATATTTTAACTACCTGGCATTCATCAGACCCGAATCTGTGGCGTGGTCCATTTCCTGATTATCTGTGGCAGGGAGGCTGCGTGGAGGAGGTAGGCGGCGAGGAGATGGAGGAGGTTTGGAGGTATAGAGCAATTTTCGTTTGCTGAGGCCAAAGGATGTAAGCAGGATCAATTTTTTGAATTTGGCTGAAGGCACTTTGATTTTTATTTTTATTTTTTTTAAAAAACAGTCTTTCAATGAAATGTGTTGCAGTTTCATATTCACTGTGGCTGAAGTCTGCAGTAAGGAGTTCCACTTTATCTAAATGATACCAGCCAGGATCCTTAGTGTCATAGGAGAAGCAAATAAGCAAAACAAGGTGAAAACTGACAACCAGGTTAACTTTCGTAAACCAAGGGAGATTTCCTAATGAATTAGTCTAACAAATGCAAAATCTGTCTTTGGCACTTTTTGTTGATGTTTATTTCAGAGTGTTGTGTGATTCATTTCGAGCAACAAGATGTATTTCGTTGTGTGAAAAGTACTTTTTATGATTTTTGAATGTATTTGTTTCAGTGGAGATCATTTTATTGGATTTTTTTCTAACCTGTGTTAACACCATTGAATGTGTATTTCTCAAGAAAATACCACCCTCTTGTGCCCTTAAAAAAAGCATTACTTTAACTGATAGGGAATACCACAAGTTTTTCAGTTCAGCTGTTCATTAGATAGTAATTGAAGATATGTATAAATATTACAAAGAATAAAAATATATTACTGTCTCTTTAGCATGGTTTTCAGTGCAATTAAACCAAGAAATGTGTTGTTTTTTTTAAAAATAGTATTTAATAGGTTTCTGACTTTTGTGGGTCATTTTGCACATAGCTTTATCAACTTTTAAACATTAATAAATTGATTTTTTTTAAAGATCCTTTTGTGAAGAGCATTTTTGAAAATAATTATTGAGACATTCATTCTATTTGACTTTGTGGCTCTTTGGAATCAAAGTTAAGGGCAAGTTTTTCTTATTCTTTAAAGCATTTTTACCTTGATTAACTAGGGTGTGAAAAGAATGTGGTTTGTTTAGAAACCGCTCTATCTTTTTCAGGAAGAGAAACTTCAATAAGTTAACACTGAAGAGTAGTAAAGAATGAGATTAAAACCACCAACCTTCTGAATACCACATTGGCAAGTAAATGTAATTGTTTGAATAAATCTCATTCAAGTCAAACTAAATTAAGTTCAAAATTCTGTCCTAAAATGTAGATTTTTAAAGAAATAATATATAACAATGTGGTTGAAAAGCTAATTTAAATTAGGAGACTCAATGATAAGTTCAAAAAAGCATACATTCTTGGCTTTCCACCCACATGCTAGGGAAGTAGAGGTATGAATATGGGAGATAATAAATCATTTTATTTTTTTCAGGACACTGTCTTGGCTTCTCCCAGCCTTTCTTCTGAACCCTATACAAGTATACAATGTTGATGAAGTAGCTAGTGGTAGAATGTGAGTAGCATACCACCTTTCATCTGAAAACTTTCAATTCATAGTATCTAAAAGCTTTAACATTCCCAGTCATTAATGTCTCCAACTACAAAATGAAAGCAAAGTACTTTGCAGTCATCACAGAATTACTGTAATAGTTAATTCTTGTTTTGATATTATTGCCATCTTGGAGGATTAAAGTAAGTGGGTTGGCTCTCCAGTTCTATTGTTACTTTCAGAATTTGTGCTTTCAAATGTCATTGCATATGCACAGGACACAGTTGGGACATGAAGATAAACCTCACCTAATAGAGCAGATGTCATTTCTGGGTAAGGTTAACTGTGGGAAACAGAAGTATGTTCACTAAGGAAACCTTAGGTCACAACCTCCAGTTTCCTGAAGGAAATGCCAAAAATGCTCCAAAGACAAAAGGCTGGAAACAAACTGGAATGTCTCTATCCATCTGTCTGCTGAGGCGGAAGGAATGATTTCATGTTACACTCACTTCCTAGGGCTTTCATTACAGAGTCAAACATAATGGAAAAGTGTGTCCATTTTGTGTTTGTGTGACAGATAAAATGTTCATACTCTTAGACTTATCTTCATAAGCACAGGGATGACTCATGATATGGGGGAAAATGGGATAGGGTGGTTGGCCTTCAGGAATGGGAAGCTCACTGGTGACAGGGAGGACAGCCTCACTTGCCCCTTGTGAGCACAGTATCCAATGATTAGATGTGCTTTCTTCCTGGAAACTCCAGGCAGTGCATTTCATTCCAACAAAGATGGACAGTCATGGACTGTGGTTTTCCTGTGCAGATGTATGGCAGGGCACCAGTTCTGGCCAAGAAACCAAGATTTAAGATGAAGGAATCCTTGATTATATCCCAACATGAATATCTGGTTTTAATTCAGTATATTCTGAGAAGTGAGGATGAGAAAAAAAAATCAGTAACTATATGTTTATATAAAACTATACACATACAAGGTTTTGATTAAAAAACATGTAGTGCTATTCAAGAGGAGTAAAGCAGACAACCTGGGCAATACTTGATATATTCTTGTAAAAAGTTCAATTGGCTCAAAATATTCCAGAAAGTTATGAAATGACATCACTTAACACTTTACCCCCACCAACATTAAATGTGATTACAGCTTTATAGAGCATTCAAATAAAAATCTTATGTAAGACAAACTCTTACTCTTGTTTTTAAATGTCCTTATAAGGAGAAAAATCTAATTATTTAATAAAAGCTAATCTAGTGATATTATCAGAAAGTTAGAAGTTAACAGTAATAGAAATTTTGCATTTGTGTTTATTAGACATTGAATTCTATTTTAGTAATGTCAGCATTTCAGTTGTGATATATGGCATCTCTAATTTTTTCCCCAATGTAAAAAGTCATATTATAAAGATTTTAATTTTACTTCTTTTCAAATTGGATTAATTTCTGCTGTGGACATTGCCTATGTTAAAAGACATTCCCGGTGCATATCCTTGTTACTTCTAATCTAGATTGCCCTTTTTATATGATTTTGACTTTTCATGACTCTGTTCAGTACTTCACTGAGATCTATCATATTTTCTAGGCACTACAAGTGTAGCTCTGTTTGGGAACTACTATGAAAGAACAACTTCAAGAAAAGTATTAGGCTCTATCGGGGAAATCCTACAAAGTAAGGATTTGCAGTTCAGTAATTATGAATATTAGCAATCCCATTTTCAGTTAAGAAGCATAGGATAGTACTGAAGTGACCCATTAAAAAGATATCCCACCTATGAAACTATTAAAGATTTGACCTTGTAAATAGTTATTGGCTCAAAAATTAATCTCTAATTAGGAACCATTATTCACTGTACAATATTTACAGTATTTGTAATAATGAGTTGGTATAATCTCTGTATAATGTTCAGTTGTTCTTTTTTATATGACTTGCCCCATACTCCTCAGCTTGAATGGTCTTATTTCCTGCAGATGCCTACTAATTGGATCAAACTAGATTTTATTTCATTTATTTCCAGACCAGATTTGTCTGCATTTTCTCTAAATAGGTTATAAACACCTTTAAGGAGGAATCACAGATAACCAGGAGAAATCTTTGTAGTATCTATTAGAGCTGTTCTTTCCCCATGGACACAGCACATTCTTGATGATGTAAAATCATAATAAATTACATAATTTCCTCCAACCTTCCTTCCTGCTCTTTTGATGTGTGCTTCACATGGTCCAAGGAAAGAGATTCAAAAAACTTTTTTATATATACTATTGCTCTCACTGCCATATTAATTGGAACTAAAGTCACCTTTTGGGACACTCAAGCGAGCAAGGTTTACTAAAATAACTAAAAGCCTTTAGATTGTCCACCAAGAAAAGGGAAATTTTAACCAGTGGTCAAAAGAGCTAGGAGAGATAAGGAGGAAGATAATAGTGAGGGATTAGATCTACATTTAATTCAGTCTTTTATAACCTTTGACAAGATCCAGAACACAGAGCAATTTTAGTTCATGTAGAAGATATCTCCCTTAATATGTTCTATCTCTTGTTCCCCATGCTTTCTTCTTGGATACAGACTCTCAAGAGATTCCTGTTTTCCTCATTCACTTTTTTTCAGGGCTGAAGGATCCTTTGAGGACTGAAGAATTAAAAATCAGAGTGAGCTCTGGCTACAGCCATTAGCAAAAGCTAAGTACGGGTTGTAGATTTGAATGAACAGGAATTTATTACATTTTATTGACAAAATTTTGTACCCAACCAGCAGCTTCTATGTTAATAATGGATAAACACATTGCCGTAAGTAAGTTTATACAATGGAATACTATTCAGCATTGAAAAAAGGAACTACTACTGATATTTGCTACAGTTTGCATGAATTTAAACTTACTGTGTTGTGTAAAAGAAGCCAGCCACAAAAGAGAACATACCGCATGATTCCATTTATGTGAAGTTTGACATTAGGCAAAACTAACCTATGGAGATAGAAATCAGAGCAGTGGTTGCCTGGGGTAAGGGGATTAACTGGAAAGGAATATGAGGGAACTTTCTGGGTTGTTAGCAATGCTCTATATCTTAATTTTTTAGGACATGGGTTACTCAGATGTGCATATTTGTCTAAACTTATCCAACCATATTCTTAGGACCTGATATTTTTAAAAAATCAATTTGCTAGTTTTCCACTTCTGAGTATGGGGCCTATATGGGACTTTCTTTGTGAAATTATGAGAAGGTTCCATGGAGTTCAGTAGAATATGGCAAAAGTCCCAAAGTGTTCCATAAAAGGAACATATGTTCTTTAAGTATTATCCCATGCCCCAGAACGAAAACATTAAAATGCTAAATAATTGTGACCTGATGATACTCTTTGCTTCTATAGGATGAGAATTTGGCTTATTATTGGTATTTGTAATCCCTGAAGATTTTTGTGTCTTGGAAGAGTCTAGAGATGTAATGAAACTGTCACAATAAAAGTTTGTTGACATTCAGATTTCAGTGTTAGGAATATATGGTGGGTTATAAATAACCTTCTGAAGAATAGACTTTTATTTACTGCAAGTTTATGGAAATGTATTAGTATTACAGATATACAAACTGGAGTGTGCCCAACCATTTCTTACCACAAGCACCTGACCAACCTATAAAAGGCATTCAGGCAGATAATAACACCTGCCCTGGATGTAAGCCCAGCATTGTTAGAAGTAATGGGCAGAGACACATAGGATATGGAAGACAGGCTTATGCTACTGTGGGTTTTATAAGCTTGCAGCCAGGTATATCGTTTGCATGTGCTCTTCCCTGCTAAGGATTCCTTCTTTCAGCCAGCTCTGGGAGGCACTGGGCAGAGAGGTGCAGTGCCTCAGGTGCTGCGCTGGTCCTTGGATAGGCTGATAAGATTCAAAGCAGGAACAGAAGTAGGAAAGTAGGAGCAATGTTACCTGGGCTTACAAGGAGCAAAGGAGGTAGTAAATTGCTTATTCTATTTCCCTAGAACTCGAATCCTATTATTGCTGCACTTTGCTGCTACTTTGTTGATACCAGGGCAGAAAGAACAACTGTGGAGGAAACACTGGCGTGGCTCATGCTTCCTGCTCCTACACCTTCTGAAAGTTTCACCCACCCACCTAAGCATTCAACAAGAATGCTTGCACTGTGCTCTGTGCTGTGGATATAGGGGCAAACATTAATAGGAGCACTGCCTTCATAGAGTTTGCAGGATTCATTTCGCCAGCTCTGGTGCTCGAATCACTCCTTCCCTTTAGGGTCCAGGGATCCCGATATGGCAAAACATAGTGTTTTGGTTTTTTGGGGGGTTTTGGGTTTTTTCCTCCTTATGAATTTGCTCATTGTTTTACACTTCCCCTTATATACTGAGTTTTTTAGCAGTGTAAAATAATTTCATTCAATAAATATGATTAATGTGGGCAGCTTTTCATCATTGGCCTTTATTTAACTGATATTGAAGGGGAACCGTCGGGTGCCGGGAGGCTGCCGCTAGCCACCTTCCAGCCGCTCCCCGAGGGCCGGTGCTGTGCGGGGTGGGCCGTGGCGGGTGCATGCTATTGGGGCCGGGCATTGCGTCCCTGCCCGCCAGTGCTCTGCTGAGGCCTGCTGTCAGGGCCGCTGGGTGCTGGCGCCTGCTCCTGTCATCCAGCTGTGCTGCTTGCGTGATCCTGATTGGGTAATTTTTGAATCCCACTGTTGTTGATTGGACGTTAAAGCTTGTTGCTGATTGGATGTTAAAGCTTGATGCTGATTGGATGTTAAAGCTTGTAGTTGATTGGACACTTTTTGAGTCTACCAAGGGTATAAAAGCTCCAAGGAATGGAGGTCAGAAGATCAGAAGACACGAAGAGAGCTCTAACGCTTGCTTGGTTGAGCCTGCTGGCTGAATAAAAGCTGTTCTCCATCTCTTCTTGTGCGGCTGGGATCTTTCCCAGGTCAAGAGCTGTAACACTAGCTGAACACTTGGGGCAACAATATCTCTAAGTAACTTAACATTAAATAATGAGCAATTAACTCACTCATATTTGGAATGGAGAGAAGTTCTTTATGTTATTGGAGGTTGTTGTAAATGTGAGTATTTGTATTCTGTTTTTCAGGTTGTTCTAGGCCGCATGTGATAAAGAAGCAACTCTGTGAAGTCAAAGCATTCAACATTGTTTTTAGTTTCTATCTTGCCTTAGTTTGTTCTTTTCTTTCTAGAGCACTACTGTGAACTCTGTTGGGAGGAACCACTTGGGTTATAATGTGCAAATGAAGTCTACATTTGAATAAGCTGTAAGTGGTGTCCTTATTTAACTTGAAAGACAAAGTTGATGAAAGACAAAAGAGACAAAAATGCACGACTCTAAAGGAAACATGACACCACGCACTTAACGATCAAACAGCTATAAACAGACTTATCTAATGGTGAGCCATTATTGCAAATCATCTACAGGACTTGAGAGAGGTGCCTAGGGAGGTCTTGAGTGTGCTGCATGTTCAGTGACTGCTTGATGCCAGGGAGCTGGGGCTAACACCCTGAGCAGCCCAAAAACTTACTCTGCACC